TGGCTCACGCCACAAGACCTACTCAACTAGTACTCCTGACACATTTTTCAGGCTGGGTTCTGCTGTGTAAATAACTTTGCTGGTTTGGAATCCTACAGCCATACATAAGAGCTGAACTTAGGAGACTGTATTTCAATTTCATTTTTGGCAAGACTCTCACCTTTAACATAAATTATTACACGTACAGAGCAGCGAGCACGAGTGCACACAGATTAAACCCAGGGATAACTTGTCAACAATGGCTCACCAGAGCAGATCGGTCTCGGACAAATTAAAATAGGCTTGGACAGCCAACTACCCAGAGCACACAGACAGCGTGACCCAGTGAAGTGCAAAATATTTTCTTGTTTTTAAAATAAAGTCCAGAAAATCTTATTATGTGGTTTGATGATATAATTGCACATGATTTCAGAAAACCACAGGACGGTCAGCATCTTTCTTGCCAAAAGAATACCCACAAGATTTTACTGCAAATGCCACCCTGCCCAAGAAGCTACATTTCAGACCGTTTACATTACTAATGAAGCACATGAGGAGGACACAGGACACAAGCTGCTTCAAACATACACGTCTGAAGATGTTTAACTGCTGCTGGCACTCGCGTTTTCTGTCCCCCGTCCTGGCTTCATGCGTAAAGCAGAATCCCAGAGAGCAGCATCACATCCCCGCATGATCCAAAAGCAAACCCTTCCCGCTTCCCTTCCTCTCTGCTTTAATTCTTGGGCACTTCCCCACCCTAACAGCTCTGACAACCACCTTAACAGGATGGGAAAGAGCACCGCTTTTCTCATTGAGTGAGAAGCAAGACCAAGAGTAGCTTTGTTCTAAAGATTAATTTAGGCTAAAATAACGAACCATAAATTCTAAGAGGCCAGGAGGAGACCCACCTGGAAAAACCAGCTCAGCCATGAGACCTGTGAACCCTAACAGCCCCTAGCACCTCCACATCATCCAACTGAGGGGGGGCCAGGAGAAGAGCCTCCTTAAGTGGCCAAACCTGGGACCCCCAGAGCCTTGCCACAGAGTCAAAGACTTGCGGATTCAGGTACCTTCCTACACAAATTCAGCATAGTCCTTGTAAATGGTGTCCCCAGCTCTAGAGACAGTAAAAACTGTGGCCCCTACAATGTGACCCTCTGGTCCTCCTAAGAAATTCAACATCTGCCAAGTCCTACTGTGGGTCAAATGCTGTGCTAGGCACTGCCACAGCCATTAAACTGCCATTCCATCCTGTGAGAAACATAGTTGGTTTGCTTGTTTTTAATTGAGATATAATTCACACACCGTAAAATTCACCCACTTAAAGTGTATAATTCAGTAGTTTTTAGTATATTCAAAGTTATGCAGCCATCACCATTATGAACATTTTTATCACCCCAAGAAGCACATGGTTTTTAATCACCATCCTATTGACGACAAAAATGAGGGAAAGATGTTAAGTAACCAATCCAAGATTACAAAGTCTCATTAGTAGCAGAGTTGGGGTTCAAACCCAGTCCCTGAACCCTTTACAACACTGGGCACTGCTGATCAGCCCTTCACCCACCCTTGACCTCCATTGCTCCCTTCCTACCTTGCCTCTCCTCACTGCTCCCCAGGGCTTTGTCATGCTGCTTTCTTAGCACACACACAGATTCCTCTGATCCAGACTCCCATCTCTAGTGCCCAGGCTGAGATTTCTAAATATTATTTCCCACTCAAAGGAACAAGAACTTCTAGGAGAAATGACAGATTCCAGGTCTGGGACAGGACATTCCGATAAGCATATCAGAAGGCAAGGGCGTTAGCAAGGACTACTGAGGGTGAGTCAGGACTACAACTGATTTACATAGTTGTTTTTTTTTTAATATATTTTATTGATTTTTACAGAGAGGAAGGGAGAGGGATAGAGTTAGAAACACAGATCAGCTGCCTCCTGCACAATCCCCACCAGGAATGTGCCCGCAACCAAGGTACATGCCCTTGACCGGAATCGAACCTTGGACCCTTGAGTCCGCAGGCTGATGCTCTATCCACTGAGCCAACCCGGTTAGGGCTGATTTACATGGTTTATAAGTATCTCCCAGAAAGGGCTCATCCTATGATGTTCAGCAGCATCCCTGGCCTCTACCCACTAAGTACCAGTACTTGACTCAGCTCCTGTGATAGCAACCAAAAATGTCTCGGCTTTCCCCTGCAGGGGGGGCGGAAGGAGGGGGTAGCTGCGGGGGCAAAATCTCCTCCCACCTCCAATGAGAACCACTGATCTAAGCCATGATCACCAATGGCTGTTAAGCTACTGATGCAGGTGTTCCAGGGGGACACACAGCAACATGGAAGAATATCTCAAATGCATCATGCTAAGTGGAAAAAAAAAAGCCAGACTTAAAAGACTACATACTTTGTGATTCTATTTATGTGACATTCTGGAAAAGGCAAAATGATAGAGATGGAAACAAAATCACTAATTGCCAGGGTTTGAGTAGCAGTAGAGAGAGGGGTTGACAAAAAAGGGTAGAATGAGACATTTTGAGGATTGGTGGAACTATCTGACTGTGGTGGTAGACACATGACTCTACATATTTGTCAAAACTCACAGAAATGCACACTATAAAAAGTAAAATTCACTCTATGTAAATTTAAAAGAAAAAAGAAAATGCTGTAAAGTCAATTGATAAAGGCATACATAAAATAGTTGCTATACAACTATTCACTTGTATCGTGTGTATGTATACACACCCATATGTACACATGTTAATAAACACACACACAAACAAAAGTGTTATGCACACTGTGAACGAACGATACTCACCTCTGATTAATAAGATTCCAGGAAATTTGTTTTCTTCTTTTAACTTACCAGTCTTTTCTAATTTTTCCTCAAAAATAAAGTAGTATTACTTGTGTGATTTCTTTTAAAAGTAATTTTAAAACAAGCAGATGAAAAGATTAAAGCAACCTCTTCTGGGAAGCCTCCACCATTAGCCTTTCTCCCTCTAGGCTTCACCCCCATTTCTTCCACGCACTTCACACAAGCTGCCCATAGTCTCCTTCTCTCTGTGGCTTTAGCCTCTCCTGCAAGCTGAGCTGCGTGAGGAAGTGCCCCCATACACGCCGTATTCCCAGGTGTACTGCCACGTGGCACCTGTCTCAGGAATCACGTTTATCTAGTTTCCTGCTCCATCCCCTCCCCCAACAATAGGCACTCGGTAAAAGAGCTGGTCAGTGACTGACCAACCAATGGGGAAGGAACAGGCATCTAATAAATGACCATTAAACCATACCCATAGGTAACTGAACACTACCCAAACGGTGATCATTAATGTTTCATGTCAGCCTAGAACACGGGTTCAGGTGAAGGACCTTTGGGATGGCCCCTGCCCACATAAGTTTCCAGCAATTATTTGGGCTGGCTTATCATTTGCCATATTTGTGGATAAGAGACTTGGAATTGTTACTATGTAAGAGAAGCTTCAAAATTATCCCAATAGTATACAAAGTCAGGCTGATGCCATGAATTGATTCAAACTGGCAAACATTTAAGGTACAAAGGTTCAGCAACAGAAATACAGAATAGAGGAGGGCAGTCAACAGGCTTTAGGTGACATCAGTCATGCTGAACTTAAAGGTTTGTCAGTAAAGACTGAGGTAAAAGACTTAAATTTTGGTGGTAGGGGTTGAACTGAGTGGTCACAAACCTTTCCTTATGTAGGACACTACACTTTCACATATGTAGGCAGAAGTCTGTTCATTAAGTTATTAAATCCAAACCTTGTTAAAATAAATATTTTTATGATTCCCTGCACATGCCAGCAATATCCAGAATAATATTTTAAATATACCCTTACTTTCAAAACAAAAACAACTCAGCCTAAGCAGACCAGGGCCCCAGCAGCCTGCAAGCTAACAGCTTATTTGCTGCAGACAATAAAAACAAATTAGAAAGCTTCCAAATATCACAATTTTGTAATCCCAGTTAAGTACAACCCACCCAGTCCATTCCACTAAATGCTGCTATAAATTTGGAAACAATGTATGAAGCAACTATTACATGACTCTGAGAAATAAACAGCAGACAGATAATAAACAGTAGACAGATCAGGGGAATCAGAATTCAAAGTACCACTGAACCAGAAGTCAGTTCCCTTTTTTTTTCTCTCCAAAATTCCCCAGCTTAGACTCAGGCACAAAAAGGTCTATTGTTTGTGATTGGAATCCCAAAAGTAGAGGGAAAAGAGCATGCAACATAAAAAAAAAAGTATTTGAAAAAGTAATAACAGATAACTTCCCATATTTGGCAAAAGACATAAATTTAGGATTCAAGAAGATCAGCAAACCCCAAACAGAAAAAACTCAAAGAAATCTATGTCCAGATGCATCATAATCAAACCATGGAAACTAACAAAGAAAAAGTCCTAAAAGCAAACATAAAAGTTATGCATTATACATAACAATGATTTGAATGATGCTGATTTAATATCAGAAATCATGGAGGCCAGAAAGTGGAATAACATTTTTAAAGTGCTGAGAAACAAACTGTCAACCCAGAACTCTATATCTAGCAAAACTAACCTTCAGTAATAAATGTGAAATAAAGACATTTCTCAATAAAAGGATATTAGGAGAATTCACAGTCAGTCGACCTGCTCTAAATGAAATGCTAAAATTTCAGAATTCACCAAAGGTAAAAAGGCAAATTAATGGAGAAAGGGTAGTCTTTTCAAGAAATAGCATTGGGACAACTACACATGAATAGGCAAATATATGAAACTTAACCTAAAGTTTTCACCTTGTATAAAGATTAACTCTAAGGGGTCATAGATCCAAAAATAAAACACAAAACTATAATTCTTAAAAGAAATCATGAGAGGGTACAGTGCAGTAACTCATCAGGGATAAAAAGGAGAACGGACTTCCCGTTCTTTGTGCTTGCCTGCCTTGTTGCTGGTGCATTGCACCCTCATGCAGGAGTAAAGATATTTGCCTAGCAAAAGAGGAGGAGGGGGATCCAGTGTCCGCCCGCCCTCCGCTCCGCCGCGATGCTGTCCCGGTCCCGTTGCATGTCCCAGGCCTTCAGCCGCTCGCTCTCCGCCTTCCAGAAGGGGAGCTGCCCTCTTGGGAGACGCTCCCTGCCCGGGGTCTCCTTATGTCAGGGACCAGGTTACCCTGTCAGGAGGACGATCACCATTAACAATAGTAGTGTCTTCAGCGTTCGCTTCTTCAGAACTACAGCTGTGTGCAAGGATGATGTGATCACAGTAAAAACCCCAGCATTTGCGGAATCTGTCACAGAAGGGGATGTCAGGTGGAAGAAAGCTGTTGGAGACACAGTTGCAGAAGATGAAGTGGTTTGTGAGATTGAAACTGACAAGAAATTCTTGCAGGTTCCATCACCAGCAAACGGTGTTATAGAAGCTCTTTTGGTACCTGATGGGGGAAAAGTAGACGGAGGCACTCCTCTTTTCACATTCAGGAAAACTGGCGCTGCTCCTGCTAAGGCCAAGCCAGCTGAAGCCCCTGCTGCTGAAGCCCCATCGGCAGTTCCTCCTTCCCCTGCAGCATCCATACCCACTCAGATGCCACCAGTGCCCTCGCCCTCACAACCCTCTGCTAGCAAACCAGTGTCTGCGGTAAAACCCACTGCTGCTCCAGTAGCTGAGCCAAGAGCTGGTAAAGGTCTGCGTACAGAACATCAGGAGAAAATGAACAGGATGCGGCTACGCATTGCTCAGCGTCTGAAGGAGGCCCAGAATACATGTGCAATGCTGACGACTTTCAATGAGATTGACATGAGTAACATCCAGGATATGAGGGCCCAGCACAAAGATGCTTTTCTGAAGAAACATAACCTCAAACTGGGCTTCATGTCGGCATTTGTGAAGGCCTCAGCCTTTGCCTTGCAGGAACAGCCTGTTGTAAATGCAGTGATTGACGATACAACCAAAGAGGTGGTATATAGGGATTATATTGACATCAGTGTTGCGGTGGCCACCCCACGGGGCCTGGTGGTTCCCGTCATCAGGAACATGGAAACAATGAATTATGCAGATATTGAGCGAGCCATCTTTGAACTGGGAGAGAAGGCCTGGAAGAATGAACGGGCCATTGAAGATATGGATGGTGGTACTTTCACCATTAGCAATGGAGGTGTTTTCGGCTCCCTCTTTGGAACACCCATTATCAACCCCCCTCAGTCTGCCATCCTAGGCATGCACGCCATCTTTGATAGGCCAGTGGCTGTGGGAGGCAAGGGGGAGGTGCGGCCCATGATGTGCGTGGCACTGACCTATGATCACTGGCTAATCGACGGCAGAGAGGCTGTGACTTTCCTCCGAAAAATCAAGGCAGCGGTAGAGGATCCCAGAATCCTCCTAATGGACCTTTAGGAGGAAGTCACACACCCAACACATTGACCACGCAGGAACTGAAAACCAGTCTTCTCTCTGCCCCATGTGGGTCCCGGGTTCGCCTGGCGACAGGCAGGCACATGCTGTTGGCCTCAAGCAAGGAAGCCAGGGCACTATATAACCAGCAGTCGCAGGTCTTTCTTGGTGTTCCTACCAGCTCTCTCTCTCTCTCTCTGTACCCCTCTCAACACTCGAATATCTTATTTCCTTAGGCTTGAGGGAGAGAAAGAGAGAGCCTTCACAGATGCTCATTAATATCCCTGCCTTTCTTCATTAACCCTCTGCCGAGATAATTTTGCTTCTCCCCCGTGCCAGTACACGATAGGGAAACCACTGGGGACCATGGTATTAAGTTTCAATCTTTTTTTTTTCTTTTTTATTGGGGGAGAGGGGGAGAGGGGGAGGGGGGAGGGAGGGGGAGGGAAGGAGGGAGGGAGGGAGGGGGAGAGAGAGAGAGAGAGAGAGAGAGAGAGAGAGAGAGAGAGAGAGAGAGAGATCAAGTTTCAATCTTTTGAAAGTATGTTCTCCAGAGCTGCCTGGGAGGGTTGTGCCTCCCACGCTCGGAGCAGCCTCTGCCCTGGCTGTGCACATTCTCACTTGATTCCACCTGTGTGGAGGTATTGACCACAGGCCAAGGTGCTGCTTTGCTGCTAAATGCAATTTCCTTCTCAGCTGTCATTGACTTCAGGATGCCTCTACTACCTCTTCCAGGAAGCACAGGCCGGGGGACCTGGGTAGGAGAGGTGTTGGCAGTGTGGAGGGGGAGAGGGCAGATTCCCCCTGAGGTCATAGCTATAAACAAGAGAACAGAAGCCAGGCCTGCCCTCACATTCTCTGTCATAGCCTCACACCAGGAAAACCCATTTTGGCACAGCTATGGTTGTGCCAACCTTTCTAGGTTGCTAGGAACCGTTCTAGCACATTGTTCTCATCTGGAGCCGATTCTCGTACATCAAGGCAGTGGAGGATGGACTGGAGCCTGGTAGAGATTGGGGTGGGGGAGGCTTCCTGTGGACAGGCTCGGATTGACTTGAGCTTTTAAATTCCATTGGTATGAGCATGTGACTGAAGAGGCAGTTCTGTTCTTTCCTGATCACGGCCCTTAGGAAGTGGGGCCTTGGCTCTTCTGCAGAGCACGGGTCTAGGGCAGGGTGGACTGGTGGGAACCAGCCCCAAGATGCCAGTACACGGGGGAAGTGACTGATGTCGCCTCTGAGGTACTGCCTGATGGGTCTGGACACAGTCATTGGAATTCCTTGGAACATGGTTAAATGTACACGTCTTGTCGTGAAAGCTACCAGGCTTCATTGCTTTAAATCCAACTGCATTCAGGCCTGAGGCTGCTGACACTTGACATGGGAGCCACTTACTTAGTGCAGAGTGCCCACTTGTATCTCGAAGAAGTAAGGCCTGGGGGACGTGTGGGGGGAAGGGATGGGAGCCAATACTGAGTGCCTGCAGCATCTGCTATGTCTTCACTATTCAGAACTCATAACTGAAATATTTAAAGAAACCGATTTTAAATGCAAATTAAAGGGCAAAAGTTCTCAAACAGGAAAAAAAAAAAAAAAAGAGGAGGAGGGGGACGAGGAGGAGGAGGGGGAGGAGGAGGGGGAGGAGGGGAAATCATGAGGAAAAAAACTTTCATGACCAGAGATTAGTTCTTCGCTATGACACCAAAAGCATAATCCAGGAGGAAAAACTTGATAAACTGAATTTAATTAAAACTAAAAACTTGTTATGAAAAGACATTGTTAAAAAACTGAAAAAACAAGAAAAATACTGAGCTTAAATATTTGCAAGTCATGTATTTGACAAAGTTCTTATGTCCAAACTACATAAAGAATTCTCAAAATTTAACAGTAAGAAAACAAACTGTCCAATTTTTTTTTTAAATGGGCAAAAGACAAAAAGATTCTTCACCAAAAAGACTATATAGATGACAAATAAGCACAAGATGCTTGGTATCATTAGCTATTTAGAGAAATGCAAATTAAAACCACTATGAAAAGCATTACATCGCGGGGAGGGAGAGAGACAATAATACCAAATGCCTGCCGGGATGCAGAGCAAATAGGACTCTAATATATTGCTGGTGAGAATGAAAATTAGTACAGCCACCCTGGAAACTATTTAGCAGTTCCTTATATAGTTAAACATACATTTACCCACATGACCCAACAATTACACTTTTAGGTATTAACTCCAGTGAAAAAAAACTTATGTTTACACAAAAGCTATACATGAACATTTATAGCAGTTCCATTCATAATCACTAAAAATTATAAACAACCCAAATGTCCTTCAACAGGTAAATGAATAAAGAAACTGTGGTACATACCCACAATGAAAAACTAGTCAGCAATGAAAAGGAATGAACTATTGATAAAAACTACATGACAGTGAGTGAAAGGCAGTCTCATACGTTTACATACTCTAGGATTCCATTCATATAACATTCTGGGAAAGACAAAGCTATCGTGATGGGGAACAGATGAGTAGTGGTCAAGGGTTGGGTGTGACCACAAAGGAGGAGAATGAGGAAGTTTTGTGGGCTGAGACTATTCAGTATCCTAACTGTTGTGGCTACATGAATGTATGTATGTGTTAAAACTCACAGAACTGTATACCCAAAAGTAAATTTTACTGTATTTTAATTTTAAAAATAGCACATGTGGAGACCACCAACATCCTTGGCACATGCCCAAATTTCTATAGCTCAAACTTCTGGCAGTTTTCTTATGTGCTCAGAAAGAAAATGCACTCCATTAACAGATTTTTTTTTTTTCCTTATTGGTTTAATTCAAAACCATGATATGACAAATTCCAAGTTAGCTTTTAAATGCTATTTTTCCAGATGCAAAATATAGAATAAAAGCCTTCAATTTTGTCACTCAGTCATGAAACAAAACAAAAATATTCTAAAGAAAGAAACAGATCAAATTCCAAAATGGCAACCAAAACAGAAACAAGACAGAGTGGGCTACTGGACAGGGCCAACCAGAGAGCATCCCCACCGGCCAGCGTAGCTCAGTAGCTGAACACTGACCTATGAACCAGGAGGTCCCGGCTCAATTCCCAGTCAGGGCACATGCCCAGGTTTCGGGCTCAATCCCCAGTAGGGGGCGTACAGGAGGCAGCCAATCAATGATTATCTCTCATCACTGGTGCCTCCGTGTCTCTCTCTCTCTCTCTCTCTCTCTCCTCTCTCTCTCTCTCTCTTTCTCTCTCTCCCTCCCTCCCCCCCTCTCCTTTTCTCTCTGAAATCAATAAAAATATCTTTTAAAAATAAATATTAAAAAATTAAGCAGGGGTGGGAAACCTTTTCCTACCAAGGGCCATTTGGATATTTTAACATCATTCTTGGGCCATACAAAATTATCAACTTAAAAATTAGCTTGCTATATTTGGTTAAACATTTAATTAACTCACCCCAAATGCCTTGGCAGGGCCAAACCAAATGCTTTCACGTTCCCCACCCCTGATCTAAAACATAATGAGGCATAATGTTGAGACGTTACTAGTAGCTGTATACTTAAGGTTTGTGCACTTTTCTGTATGTATATTGTACTTCCATGAAAAGTTCTTAAAAGCAATAATGTAAATCTATGACTAAATTTTAAAAAACCATGTGTGCCATACCCAATGTATAATATCCCATTTTTACAAGTATGAACACACAGGAACAAAGTCTAAAACAACACATACCTATTAATGGAAGTTCTCTCCAGCTAATGAGAATAGTGATGATTTTTAATTTTTTCATTATTTTCCTATAGTAGTCTGATTTTTTTTAAAAATATATTTTATTGATTTTTTACAGAGAGGAAGGGAGAGGGATAGAGAGTTAGAAACATCGATGAGAGAGAAACATCGATCAGCTGCCTCCTGCACACCTCCTACTGGGAATGTGCCTGCAACCAAGGTACATGCCCTTGACCGGAATCGAACCTGGGACCCTTCAGTCTGCAGGCTGACGCTCTATTCACTAAGCCAAACCGGCTAGGGCTGATTTTTTTTTTTTTTTAAACAGACACAATACTTTTATAAATCAGAAAGTAATTTTCTTCCATTTTGGAAAATAGCATTCAAATTAAAAATATGATATTTATATTACGGATCAATTTATATATGACTCAGACTGTGCTCCCTGACATAAAGGAGCTTTGTAAGCCTCATGCAGTACCAGATTTCCAAAAGACACTTTACCAGATGTGAGGCTGGAACATGACAAATAGAAATATGGGAAGCTTCTCTGGTGTTTCTGAATAAAGGGGGGAGGGAGTCAGGTAAGTGGTAAAGGTGTTCATATGGAAGGCGGTCTGTGAGTGATGGTGATGAGGCAGAATGGATCCTGGCAGGGGAGTGGACCTAGTCCTAGGAGGAGACCGGGAAATTTGGAAGGGGCTGACCCAAAGGCTATGATGGAGAGAGTAAGAGCCATGTCACAGGAAAAGACCAGTATGCTCACTGATGCCAAGAGCTATTCCATCCCTCCTCTTCCCCTGTCTTCCTCACCCCTAAGAGAAGTGACCCCAAGCTGTTCCTTGCAAAGAGGTGTCACACTCAAGACCCTAAGTACATGGGGGGAGGGGGCGGGATCTGACTCAAGGGCAGCCCTACCCAGAGGCTGGCCAAGCATCTCTCCCTTGGCCTGGCTGGGAAAGCCCCACCCAAATAGAGGCAGTGGCAATCAGGCCCATCAGACGTGCTTTCTGGAATTCTCAACCACAGTCAGCAAGTTAGCGTCAGAGCAGTCAGACCTGGAATGATTTTAAACAGATCATCTATCAGAATATATTTACAATATGTACAAATATATCTCTATCAGAAAATGCAATGCCTACAACTTTGCCTAAGCATTCTTTTATGATTCCTCCCACCTTTAGGAGTTGCTTTTTGGGGCTGCTCCATCCTTTACTGAAAATACCTCAGGGCATACACTTCTGAGTCTGAATGCTGTCCTCCACTTTTGTGCAGCTACTTAACAGTGAAATGTGGTTTGTTCCGCAGGGCCTCTTAATATGACATTCCTACAGCAAGAGATTGTGTTTCCCACTGC